CCGGTCCGGTCCGGGGGCGACACTGAGGGTTGCGATCCGTTGCCGGACACGGAAAAAGACAAAAAATAAAAAAAGAATTTCCATAATACTGCCTAACTTTGCCCTAGCAAACTAAGACATCGTCGAATATCAGTTGAATAAATAATATATGTGGAATGAAGGAACACATGAATGAATGAGAACTAGCAGGATGTAAGACTAGAAAGACAGGAGAAAGACAATGATGTTCTTTACATACCCAAGTTAAAGTAATGAACATCATTCACAGAAGACAAGACAACATGGAGGATTCTCAGTTGGAAAATAGCATCATTCACTCATTCAGTTATCTAACTCAAAGAGTATTTATTATACTACAGCAAACCAGACAGACAATGCTCCTGTACTCAAGGGGTCTGCAGTCTGGTGAAGGGAAACAGAAGACAAATATGTATGGGATGTCATGTGGTGATAAATGTTATGAAAAGAAATGCCACTGTAAGAGCAATTCAGAGGACTGGCAAGGGATGCAAGCAGGCAGTGGTGTTTCACATGGGCTCAGGAAATCTTCTCTGACAAGATGGTGTTTGAGAACAGCTCTGAAGGCAGTGCAGCAGCAGCATGCCAAGCCCGACCCGCACAAGAGCAGTCCAGGCAGAGGGCACAGCAAGTGCAAAGGCCCTGGAGCCAGGGCCTGTTTAGTGAGCTCAGGGGGCAGCTGCAAGGCCAATGTGGCTGGCACAGCAAGCTGAAGGATGACACAGGCAGGAGAAGCAAGAGAGGCCATCAGGGCTTGACAATTTACTGTCCAAAGCAGGAGAGTGTTGAGGTAGAAGCAGGTATTAGTAATAAATCTGGAGAACAGGCACAAGGACATAAATCACACTATTGTAGCCACCACAGACTCTGATTTTACTGTGAGTGAGAGTGGGAGTCCTTGAAGGGTGCTGGGCAAAGAAATGCCAGGACCTGGATAGATTTCTGAAGAAGCATGGCCAGCACATGGAGAATAACCCGGGTCAGAGCATGAGAGAACTATGGAGTGCAGGCTGGATGCAGGGACACTGAGGCAGCTATGACAGTGATCCAGGGGAGGGGAGGGATTGGGGTGGGTTAAGGGGGAAGACCATCTTTGCAGAAGGGAGCAGAAGGGATTTGAGGACAAGGGGGAAAGTCAGTGGCAGGCAGGAAGGTCAGTGGAGCCCCTGGTATCTCTGTGGAAGGCATGATAGGGGCTGAACGTGCAGGGGGTGTTGGGGGAGCAAACAGCAGGAGGCACAGGCAGTGCAGAAGGAAAAATGGATGGCACCTCCACGCTGCAGACACTCAGCTTGGTCTCTAATAGTATCTCCAAAGACGCATAGGATACGTAACCATTCAGACACTCGTCCCCCTTACTTCCCTATTCTAGGGCTAGGAACACCGAGGTAGAATTCCCCCACACTGAAGTGCGTACTTGAAAAAGTGGAAAGAAATAAGGTCACACAGAACAAAACAACACGCCAAAGCCTGCATGCTTTCACCTGCATTAAATGCAGAGACTTATTTCTTAAAGTAAAGCTTGCAAAATATTTTAAAATAGCAATCATCTGTAAGAGTTTATTAAATTTACATTTTCTTCTTAGGTTTGTGCAGGCAGTTACTACTTATACTGACACAGTAGCCTCCAAGCAGTACTGGCCCCGGCATGCTCATGTCCCCTCTGAGGTTCTGCTCTGCACAGTCCATTGGGACGGCCTGGAATACAGCACTAACCGCCCAGACCAGAGCTGTGCCTCTTCCTGCAGGAGCAGAGCCCGGCACTGGCCAAGCAGACTCAATGCTACCTGCCACTGTTTTCTGAATCGATGGCACACCACTGATTTAACACTTCCACCCCAGCCACTCTCTCTGACTTTTGATGCTCCTTTTCCCCCTCTAGTTCATCCATCCAAGATCGACAACCTCAAACAGCACTCTCTGATAGGAACCTACAGTCTCTCCCTTCCCCCTGGCCTAAGCTTCGGTCTGTCTCCAGTGAGACGGAGGCCCTTCCTTTTTCTGGGCTGGCCATGCTGGGTACACCACTTCCTTCCCACCTCACCCCCCACACACGTTCTCTACTGTGGATCTTGCTCAGACTATTCCATTAGGATGGAGGGTTCAGCCCTCCATATAGATCCATCAATATCCTACCCGTCCTTCAAGGCCCTACCTGGACTCCTCCACTCCCTGCCTTGTACAGACTGTTGGTTAGTGTGACCTGTCCCTACTAACTATGACTACTCTTCACATCTGGGCCTTCCTCGCCACCCCACTGGCACAGCCATAAATCAGGTTGTCATCCCCTCTTGGTGGCCACTCTATGTCCAGTCTCTCCCACAGCAATGACATCTACTAGGGTATATAATAGCAAGATGCAAGGGTACTTCAAAAAGTTCACAAAAAGATTTGTA